TTTTTTTGGTTTTATTGTTTTTTGGTTTGCTTTTTTTTTTGGTTTTTTTGGTTCGTTGGAGTAGCACGTAGTACTGGCATGGCTAGTCTAGGAGGATCCTGCTTTTTTTAACGATCTTTTTGAGAATTTATGGCAGAATTACAGTTTTGATGCTTTAACCTTTGTTTTACAGCCTGTGAAAACATTGACAACAAAAGAGCGTAAGAAATCACGCTTTGGCAACGCATTCCATCTTTGCCGTGAGATTTTACGCCTGACAAAACTGGTCGTTGATGCACACGTACAGTACAGATTGAACAACGTTGATGCTTATCAGGTTTGCATATAACTACAGTTTCTTGCTCATCACAACATCTAACGAGCCAGAAGTAGCCGTTTGTAAAAATTTCGAAAAAACTAAGATTGGGAAATTCGATTATTCGATTTTGGATTTGTAAAAAGTTTGAAGTTTGGAAAAATTAAAAAAATTTCGAAAAAATTTTTAGAAAAAATTCGGTAAGAATTGGCTGAAATTCTGTTGGCTTCTCTGAAAAACAGCGTTATTTTATTTTCAGCAAGGATTTTCTTGCCCTCTTGTTACCCAGTTTTTGGTTGTGTTAACTTTTCGGATGCATATTTCAAATAATTTCATGGAAGGAAATGGGTGAAATGCAAAGCACATTTTTAATTTTTAAAATTCCATAGTAAATTGGGACTGGGAGTTATTACGATGTTTATATTAGTGATAGTCTTCTTAACAGTAACGAGTAAAGCAAAATAACCGGTGATGATAATTATGATGATGATAATGATGATAATAATTGTCATAAAGTGCTTGAGGCATTTCTTCATGACTGTTTAAGAAGATGGGTTTATAGCGCCTAGAATGCTGTGACGATCACGCGAAAAACTAAAATCTGTTGGGTAAGACATCAAATAAGTGATGGGTACCAACCGGGCTATGTAGCTCGAGATCGACGGGTTTGGAACAGGTGTACTCGGTGTGTGATGCAACTCGTAGAACTTAATAATAACTGATTTCTCACACCGATACGGGTTATTGAAATTATTGAAATTATAACGATTTTGACAAATTTTATTGAAATCACAACGATTAAAATAATTGTGGTGGAGTCATGCCATTTCATTTGTGGGGATAGTGAGTTTTTCTGTTGTTTTCTGGTTCAGTGAGTTTCTGGTTCCAGTGTGATGCTGAGCCCAGAAAACTAATTTTTTTTGCATGAAAATTGTTATTGTTTTTGAATTGTAAGCTTTTATGGGTAAGTAAATGTGGGATGGATGTGGTGGTCGCTGTGGCGCGAGGTACACAGGGAAGCGTTTATTGGATGTTAAAAAGGACAGAAAACAGCAAATTAACGGTTATGCCAGCCTAACCATAGGTTGATGAGAAGTTATGAGCTCTGCCAAGGTCCCGTGAGGTCCAGTCGATGAGTGTGACGACGTGGAGAGCCGAGTATAAAAAAACTATATATAACATATTTGTATCTATTTATAGGTATACATTTGCCTCTTCTGAGGAATATTTTGATTTCAGCTTGCCGATGGACTGCAGTA